ATATATGCCATATTTAATGCCTATTTTTATTAACGTAATGACATGCGTATTTTTTAATGCTCAATATTGTCATTAAAAATATTTCCCTTTAGTTCCAAGTGGAAATACAGCATAATGCCATATTTCCACCGGACATTAAATGACAAAAATGTTAATGACAAATGTGGGCATTAAATAAACAGTGTCATTTCGTTACAAATGAAAGCCTTTCAGTGTGTTTCAACATGCTATTCGTTAATTGTTAGAAAGCTTTCGTAATTTTTGTCACCTAACGGCCTAGTGGAAATTCGACATAATGCTGGATTTACAGTAAACATTAAATGATACAAATTTTATTAACAAACATGGGCATTAAAATATACCACACAACATTCTTTAAATGGCACACATTCGGATTTTCAATGCCTAGTGGAAGTTCGGCAAAGGAAATATGTACATATGTATAAAAACAGGAAAAAACCAAAAAATATTTTTTTACGCCGATTATATTTGTTTTTCATTACGGTTGGTGCTTGCATAGATACATAGCTATAAATTTACCCACTGTTTTATTTCTTTGCTAAAATACTTTTAATGCGAGTACATACAAATGCATGTACGTATGTATATATGCATGTATCTGTATATAGCATTGCCCTCTAATATATACATATCTATGTATATCAGCAAATAATTGTGTATATATTCTATTACATGTGTGTATGTATGTATGTATGTATGTACATATATCTGTACGTTTAATTTTCTAGCATAAGTATACCTAAATATGTAGCATAACATCTGTACGCCTGCTACAGTTAAGTTTCTATATCTATTCTACGAGCATGGGGGATTTCTTAGTGTTTTACTTTTTTTGTGTTAATTTACTTTACTTTTTATATACTTGCAAATTTTTATTTATTTGTAAATTTTCTCCTGGTTGCATATACCTTTCATGCGTTTTGTTTTAACACACAATTGTATAAGTACACTGCGCATAGGTATTCAGCACCCTATATACATATAACTATGTATGTATGTATGTATGTCGCTTGATTTCTCTGCTTGTGTTTTATCTGAGCACCTACTTGCAACATTTTTGTTTCTTAATATCATGCGTTTTACTTATTTTAGGTTCATACATATAGTATATGCAGTTATGATAAATTTATGCCTTCTTGTTTTTATTTTTTTTTTTTGCTTTTTATTTTGTTTATCTTTTTTGGTTTTTCTTTTACTGATATGTAGCGCAAACTTTAACAAACAATTTTTTTAATGCATTTTTGTAAACTATAATGTAACTCTTTTATTCCTTAAAATTAGACCTTTTTGCATTTTCACAATATTTTTAACTTTTTTCTTTTTCTCAAAATTTCCTTGTCTTTATTTCCTTAACATTTACGTTGTTTTGCTGCTTGGCTAATTCTACTATACCGTTTCATATAATATAGCTTTGTAATAAATGTATGTATATGTATGTGTAGGTATATTATTCCTTATACATATATTATACATATTTTATTTTCTTTTTTACTACATTTTTTTTTGCAAATTTTTACGCCCAATCTACTTCCTTTGCTACCATCATTCAAAGTTTTCTTTTTTAGCATTGTTAGCAGCTTTCCTCTAAATACTCGTATTCTCGATATTTTCTTTTCACTTCGCACCTGCAAATTTATCGCTTCCAAAACACATTTTTTCATGCTCAAATTTGAAATACTTTGCAAAAAATAATTTTCTAATCCTTATGCCGAATTTCCACTATGCAATTGAATGATATAAAATGTAAGGCATTAATAAAATACCACGTTCACTATTTTTATGAACGTAATGGCACGGGAGTTTTTTAATGCTCAACATTGTCAGCAAATTTTTTGTCATTTATTGCCTAGTGGAAATTAAGCATTAGCTATTTAGTCTCTAATATAACTAAGTAACTCAGTTGAAATTTAGCTCACATACTTTCTTACGGTCATTAAAATCACAAACAATTATGTATGTTATTCACTTATACTTAAACGTTCAACACTTATTCTCGAATAAGTACAGCTTTTTGCTACGGAACAGATTTATCAAGTTTCTTCTTGCAAGGCTGCACACTTCAACCAGAAAGTAAGAAGTTTAACATCCCTCGGCCACATTGTGTAACAAGTTGCTAAAGAGAGAAAATCCGAAATGGGTTGACGGGTACTATTTTCATATTAAATATGTATGCACTTAGGCAGCGAAGTTCAGTGTGCTGTGTTGGCATTGTAGACTGTGTATTCGCCTGGAAGTCTGATTGGCTATGCATACAAGATATTTTGATGCGTCGCGATGCATGCTATGTGCTTCGCCAGTTGAATGACATCGGACCACAATTGAATTTTTTTTTTCAAAGTTAGAAGTTCGGGTATGCAAGCGTACTCTAGTTCTTAGGAATGGCTTGAACAAGGCGTAACAAATTATTCTATTAAACAATTGCAAAAGTAATATTTATCTAATGTGCTTTAGCGATTGGAACCAGAATCATCCCGAACTAAATATTCATAACTTTTGCAATGGTAGACATATTTATGTACTTACATATGTTTATTCAAACTTCCCACAAATTTTTTTGTTTTCTTCTACTTTACTTGCAGCCACATAAATTCACCTTTCCTACATTGTTGTGTACTTATTTTATCAAAATATTTTCATAAGTACATTTATGAGTTGACTTCATTTTGATTTTTTTTTTTGATTTTTGAAATTTAAGTTAATTTCACGTACTACACACACACTATTTAATTACACACTTACATAAATACACATACAAAAATTGTTCGTTTGAATGCCTACGAGTGAATGCCCTCCCGCAGTCAATCGCTACTACTCCTTTGACTTCTAGGTAAGAAGCTACCCTATTAACGCGTGTTAGTGGGCATGATAGATAATGCAGGGTCAAACCAGTCTGAGGCAGAATTGTGAAAAACTACGAAAAGTGGCATCCATAAATCAAGAAAGTAAATACTTTAATAACCCCTGGTAGTGCAAAGAGAGCCGACTGTGAGCACCGCCTAGGACATTGCCGTGTAAAAGTAATCGCTGAAATACGCGGCAAGTAGTCGATTGGCAATCGACGGAGTTTAATTAGTAGCTACCGTTTTGTTAGTCCTGTAGTCGCTACCTCGCTACCTGCAGCGAAACCGTGAACTAGTGAATCAAATTTCTAGTTCTTTATCGCCAAAAACGAACCAGCCCGATAGTAACTAGCTTCCCACCAGTCCGAAACCAGCGAAATGTGATATTTTAAAGAAATTATTTTATTAAAGTATTTTCAGTAGAATCTATATTCAAGGTGAATAAATTAGAACTGGTTCGGAACTATAGAGAAAGCCATGCAGAACGAACTAGATCTTATCGCTCGATTTTAGAACTATGTAGCTCAGAACTATCGAAAAAGAGATGCAGCGGGGGGCTTGCTTACTTTACATAGATATGTATTTGCCGGCTTTTTCGTTCAAATACGCTTTCATTCTGAACTTCCCTGATGCTTTTTCATAGCTTGTCTTGACGTTTTAACCTCTTGGGATATTGTGAAATCTAACCAATAACAACAAGCACCTCTGCGAAACCAGCTACAGCCAAAGATATGCAAACCTAGATTTGTTACAATCATTCAAACGAATTTTATTTCAAATTGAAAATACATTTTTTTGAAAATTATTTAAAATCGCAATCACGGTAGAACCGAAAATTTTAAAAAATCATTTTTTTTTTCATTCGTCTGTAGATTTTAGAACTGGTTCAAACCTATAGAACTTAGGACTAGTTCGGAACTATCGAAAAAGGGTTGCAGCGGGGGCAATTGACACTTCCTAGGACATCGCCATGTTAAGTTCGCCGGTTGTTTGCATGCAAAAGAGATTTTCAGTACTGGGTCCAAATGTACCAGAAGCGCACCAGTCCAAAACTAGGGATTTTCCACGCAGGGTCTTTATCCTACCATTTATTTTTATACTAATATTCATATGTATATTTGCGTCTTTATAGCGAGAACCTAAAAATGAACATGTGTATTCATTAATTTACCGCCCCTAAGTTGGATTATTGTGTACAGCTTCATTTACCGTCCCTATGTTGGATTATTGAGTATAGCTTCATTTACTATGATGTATATGTATGTGTAAGTAGAACTGTAATTATTTAGTTTTAAGGCATGCGACCTTCAACTTATTTAAAAAAAAAAATACTTAAATTAAGCAAAGTAAAACAAATTTTAAATAAATTAAAAAATATTATAAAAATATTTAACTTGTTTCTTGATAAATATGACAATTCAATGAATTGCTCTTATACTAAGACAAAGCACGGAAGTGAACTATTTATTTTATGAATTGCTCCGTCAACCAGCGATATGTCATTAAGTTGGAATACTACGAAATTATTCTGTGGTCGTGCTGTCCAGACGAGCAAGGTTTCAAATGAATGGATGATTTACTAATACGTATATTATTAGTTTTTTTTTCAAGCAAACTTTTACATAGAAAATTTTACTCATACGCCATGTACGGGTATGTACGGGTACGGCCATTTACGATATGGCGCACAGTGGGACGTCCCCATATAAGCTGCAGCCAAAAGTAGTAACCGTACTATAAATTCACTGAAATTTTGTGTATGCGCTGCCCTGCACTTAGGAATGAAGAAAAGTGGAAAATGGTAAAATTCAACGCGCTACCACGCCTACAGCTCTTATGGGCGGAAATAGTAAATGTTAACCAATTTTGATAAAATTCAGATCATTTGCTGGCTTTAATGAGAAAAGCATAAATCTGAAATATCGTCAAAATCGGTTTACATTATCGTCCAGTTATTCTAGAAAAACAGGCGCAAATTTGAAAACAAAATTTTTTTTTGAAAGTCGGTGTGCCCTGCTCGTTTAAGCCAAAATTTTCCAACTTGGAAGTTAAGAAAAAAATTTCTTATTACGCCACCTATCTTCTGCACAACTTTTTTTTGGCTCCAAGTATTAAATTTCATGAATTTTGGAGAAAATGAACCGGCACATTTTATTTTATTTCTAAGGAAGTTCCTATTTCTTCATTTTAAAAATGACAAAGCTAAAACATTTAAAACATCTGCATGCTAAAGTCTGTTCGCGATATTTATTTACACTAAAACTTTCAATTTTACCTATATTTTATAAAACAAAATCTGAGCTAAGGCCAGCAGGACTCTTGCCATCGAAAACGGATCTCGTCCAGAGAAGCGTTCATTTTTGGCTGAATGCTGAATGTGATTAATAGATTGGTGAGTAATTATTATCTATATCTTCTTCAATTTCTATTTTATATTGCAAATTATTTATTTTATGTACACACCAGAGTCTTTCACTTCTACTCTCTACAATAAAAATTCAATAAATTTTACAGGAGGTCGGTCTGTAAAAGGAAGAAGAAACTATTTGAGATATGACACGCATTTTTAGTGTTTACTTATCTTAAGTACAATTAGCTCGCTTCCTAGGTCATTTTTAAATATGCCTTTTTAAATTAAGCACTCGAAAAATTTTATACTAACTTATGTAGAATTTCAAAGTAAACTATTTTATATATTTCAAAAGTTTATAAAAATTTAAAGCAATGCTTGACCACAGATATATTCAAAAACTGCTCGATGGATTTTTATATACGCGCCCAAGTGGAAAAATTAAACTAAATTACTTGCTACAAAATCAAAATTTTTTCTTACAAATAAATTTTTTCGCATTGTTCCTACTTTAAGCTCGTGTTATGACTGCAAATATGCATTTTTATCAAAAATTCTTTTTGGTTTGGGTTAGCTGAATATCTTGCTGTGCATCTGTGCAATTACTTATTCAGAATTCGCTAATCCGTTTTTACCACTTTTGGCCGCTGCACTCCCATTGTGTGGCGTATGAATAACGCTATTTTCTGCTCCTATTTCATAAAAACAAATTATTGCACGCAGTTATAGAAAAAATTTAAGCAGATTAAATAAGTGATTCAAAGCATATTTTTGAACAAAAAAATAGATGCTTATTTTATTATATTTACCACAGCATAAACAGAAAAAGCATTTCAACTGAAACCGCTGAAATCAGACATTACTTCGACAGTATTTCTATTAGGCTGACGCAGTTTATTTGCTCCTCGATGTCGTGAAATTCCGCTTAGAAAATTCTAACCGTTTGCTAAATTTTTGCTCGTCATGTTATCTACAGTGGGCGAGATGTAAGTTTATCTGCTTTGTTCTGAATCGTCATGTTAATTTCACGTAATATTATGGCCGGTGTTTAGTCTGTGATTATAATCGCGTTAAAATGCCTTTAACTTATAAAAGAGGTTTCGAAAATACGTTTTGGAGGGTGTGCTTTAAAATTTTTACACATCTTTTAAATGTTTTTAGACTGCGTGGTGCACTTTAAAGGGTGACAAGAAATATTTACATATTTTTTTTATTGGCGAAATCAAAAATAAAGAAACTTAAACAACGTTTCGTAAAATTTTCGACCGCACACAGCGCAGCTCCTCTACCGGAATATTTTCGGCACAGTGATTGCTTTAGCAACACCAAAGTTTTCAGTGGCTTAGGACATGGTCTGAAGCTGTATTGCATGAGACTCAAATCTGGAAAGTACTGTGAAGCGCACACAAATACAGCGATTGAACTGGCTTGGCCAAGTTGTATGCACTCCAGTGAAAAGATCCTTCAATTCGGCACCCATGGGTGGTAACTGAAACCAAGGGCGCCCGCAAACAAAATTGAAGGCCCAAGTGCAGAAGAATATGTCTGCACACGAAATTAGCAACTGGCGCGAATTCGCACAGGAGAGAGTAGCTTTTTGTAGAAGAAGAATAAATAAGTACGGTGACCACTTAGCAGCAATAATACCGCTGGGAAACACTTATTTGCACCACTCTTGAACGTCTGGTGCAGTATTATCAGAAGCGGTGTCCTGTTACAATGTTTTTGATTTGCACCGACACGTTCTTGGGTTCGATGAAGCACCGTAGCGATTTATTATTTTGCGACGCTAAACTTTTGCACAAAAATTAGGGCTGTCTTGCGTATACACAAATTAAAGCATGAGGAAATCACAAATTTGCGATTTTGACGGTGCCCGTTGATGTGTGACGAACTAGGAGCTTCTGCCGAACAGATTCTATCATTTCAACAGCTGTGTATTTGCCCAATGGTAAACTGTTTGTGATCATAGAAATTTTTTTCCGGCACAACGTCAGAGTTGTCCTCATCTTTTCAGCATTATTTTTGTTCTCCTCTGTAAGCAACTAATGTGAACCTTCTATTTCGGAATTAAGTGAACATTCGAATGGTCATTACCAGTCTCACGCGCAATTTCCTCAATGAAGCGATTTCAATGGACTCTCGGATTGTTTATCTGGCGGTTCTTTAATGTATTGAAAGTTGATTTTCCTTCCAAATCCCATATGAACGCCTCATGGTTAATTTCAGTGAACTGCTGAACTGCCTTAGAAACAGTTTAGCAACTGCAAAATTTGATATTGTCGCTTTGCTTGGCGTTAGGTTGCTCACAAACATTTCTTAACGAAGTCTTTCCCCGTTATTCTGGCCACTTATTTTCCTTTATACGTAGATTCCTAAACACTTTGTTTTTATTTGGAGACTCAGTTGCTGCCTATTTTAATTGAAACCTAATTTTGAATTGAACTTCGCGCCTATGTATTTGAAAATAAACTAAGCTTGTATACACATATCATATACCTATGCAAGAGCATGAAATGAGATACCAGATCTTTACAATTCTTTACTATTCGTTATGTGTTTATGTTCATGGTAAATGTTTTTGTTCCAAACTACCTTCATTTGATTTGTATTGTACTATACAATACAAAATTGTCTACTTTATTTTTTTCCCTAAAAATTATCATTAAAACACTCAAGATATGATACATATATATATCCGTTTGAGTTTTTCCGATAATGTAATGTATACAATACAATTTATCTTCACTTAAAACTAACATATTAAATTTGCTGCTAACCATTCATCTTCTGGCAACTGAAAAAATAGAAAAATTAAAAATATAAATAAATTAACATATTGGCTAAGAAAATTTTTATAGTTATTTATGTGTGTGTATTTAAATAAAAATCAAACTTAGCTCATACAAGGAAAGCATTTTTTTTTTTTTACAAGTGTTCTCATGTGATTAGCTGAGTCAGCTATGTTCCGCTAACTGTTTGTTATACAGTGGAGTGTCAGCAGCGAACATCATCCCCAAATATTTGAATTTTTGTTTCATTACTTTTCAAGCAAAAAATTGGATCCGGTTCATTCAAGGAGTATTAGGAAACCGGTTTAGTGCCACATTCACATTTTCAACTATTTCATTGTATGAGCTAAGCGTAGTTTACATATTTGATACACACTTACTTTTACTCTATTTTATGCTTTTCATACTCATCTCATCTCACCTCAAAATCATTTGCAATTATTATACAAAAGCAGGAAGAACTTGGGTTAGCTTTAATAAAATATACAAGGATTTTGTTTACTAGGTGAGAAGCAAAAGTTAAAAATATTACAGTATCTAGGGTGTTAATATACAAAATTTTGCAGGAGCAGGTGGAAGCTAATTGACAAGACAAGAAGTGGAATTTTTTTTCGCAAGTCTATGGAAGTTGTGTAGGATGGAAGTTTTAAATGGGTTTAAGAATATTTTAAGCAATATTGTGTGCAACATAGGAAATAAATGAAACGAAGATGTTTGATATACAATTTTTATATATTTTTCTGTTTCCTCGCAAGTAGTCTGCTGAGTTTTTTACACTTATAATTTTCTCAGTTTTTAGTTGAATTGCTGTAAAGTTTGTAAATATTTTTATACTAACTTTTATCGTTAATTAATGTATATAATTTTATTATTATTTGTCGTTTTATATTCTTAACTTTCAAACAAGTTCAAATGATGATTTGAGAATCCGTGATAAAATAAAAAAATGCAATATTGATAAACTGATAAAGTCTTGTAATAACCAAAAGCCTGCACACTCTTCAAGTCCGCCTTTCATAAAAACAGATTGTGTTCAAGCATCATATAGGAAAAAATGCGCGACCCTCTCGCCAAAAAAAAATTCTTAAAAATCAACGACAATTTTTAGCGACTGAAGCTTGCACTTTGTTGTACTAAAATTTAATGAGCTACAAAGCTACTCAAAATCGAATTGAAAAGCTGAAAATTTCGATGAAAATTAGTGCATGAAATTAAAAATATAGATTCTTGTGGTTTTTGCTGTTGAATGAACTTTATTTTTATAAAAAATAAGAAAAATTTGTTTATGAAAAAATACGAATAAATGAAATCGTCAAAATGGCAGGGTATACTTCTTTGTGACGCTCACTGTATGTATATTTGAGCAATAATACTCTGACACTTTAGGCCGTGCTTGAGACAGCGCTCATCGTTAAGAATTCGTTCAGAGTTCTGCTTAACTGACTCAGGATATGGACACTCTAGTATTCTTGGAAACTTCGACACTATTCCCGAAACACGCAGTATATTGCGTAAACAGACTGACAATAATGAGCTGTTGAACCACTCACATCCCCAGCGGAGGAATCGATGGGGGGCAGCGGAATTTGCAACAAGGCTCCGGTGAATTTTCGCACCGTTGGTTCAAGGTGTCACAGAAGTGCTAGTGAAGGGGTATTTTGCAGGGTGCTTTGGATCAACTTTAAGTTTAGTAATGAGAAAGCAATAAATGATATACCTGTTTTAGCTAATTAGAAAACGAATTTCTATCCTCGCAGCCACGGAGGCCGTCATCTATACTTGGTATAAAAAAGAAGAGCTGAATACTTATTCCAATTATAGCCCTCAGTAGCAATATATTTTGCAGTATTCGTTTTCCAAAAATTCTGCCACAATTCGAAGCATTATTTGGCCGTCCTTGAATAAAATCATTTGCTGACTATCATTTGTTTTCCAAATACATAATGCACTTTTCCATGTATAGATAGATATATGTCTACATGAATGTATGCATTTATTGCACAATTACGTATGTACATATATGTATACGTAAATACATATACATATACGTATCTGAAACTGGAAGCTTAGAGATACATACATACTACTTGAGTTTTGATTACAAAGCAAATCGAAGCTGGTATTGAACGCATTGTTCAGATAATAGTTACTGCATTACTATGGAAAATAGAAACCAGACAGCATTTGCATTAGTACTCATAAACTAATTAATTAGGAAACGTGCCATTGTAGCTAAATGAAGTACTAACTATTGAGTTCCCTTTCGAATATGAATACATTTCCAAGGGTATCTGATGGGTATTGGTAACAATTAAAATAAAAATGAAGTTCTTATGCAAATATTGTTTTTAGTAATGTGTGTGAGTTGATTGAGTGCTGACTCTCCAATTATTTAACAAACGTGGGGTTGTTTTTATTCCGAAACTCGGAAAGAGGTAATTCTAAACTACTTCTTGCTAAAAGCAATGAGGAAGGTTACAGACAAATAAATAGGGTATCAAACCCTGTGAAGCAGACCCCTTGTCATCTCAACTCAAACCGGTTTAGGGTATGAAGTTCTACAGACACCTAAGGTTGTTGGCAACATATCACAATACATAGAATAGACCGTGAAACTTATTTTATTAAACTTCGCAAAAGATTATTTCATCATCATCTAGGAACATGGAATAGCTAGGATGTCAGCTTCCACTAAACATTTTCCTCATAAATAAAGGGGTAATTATTTTAGTAATGGAATTGAAAATAGCTCTCTGGAGAAACGCCATTATTAAGGGGCACGTACATTATGTAATGGTACACATACGGCTCCGAAACCCCGGGAAAATTTGGAGTAGGCATTTATGGCCTCAAGATGAGATCTGCCGTTCCTATATGGAACCTCCATTTTTCAAGCGTCGGTCTCCTTTATTGTTAAGAGTGCGGATATTCACTTACCTAGAGACTACTTTAGCGGCAGTCAGGCAGCACTCCAGGCTCTCTTATGCCTTGAAGTTAAATCGTGTCTCTTGTCGTTTATTGTATTAGAAGCCTGAGTTCCTTCGCTATATACAATATTTTTCAGCTACTTTGGGTTAGAAGCTTAATGACGGTACAACCAAAAGATGCCCGTTAACTACGACACAGGGAAACTGAAGTTTATTATGCGGATTGTAAGACTAAACGCGGTGTTGTGATGAGTAGAGGCCAAAATAGATCCATTGGGTCAAACTGCATAAAAGAGGTATCCTAAAAAAAAAATACAATCGCTATTCGGTGTAGGCGGTCAAGACGCACAGAACAAATTCGTGGAGAAGCTCGGCCAAACACTTTGCAAGAGTGTAAGTGTCAAAATATTACTATTTTGTTTTAAACTATTTTCTGTTAATTTCTTTAAAGTCGTGGCGATTTTACGTTTTAGTGCTGGAATTTCGTCTGCTTGATTATTTTCCGTGCTCTAACATTTATTTTAACTATTGCTTTTGAAGAGTTAAGTTCTTTGTAGTTTTAAAATAGTAAGTATAAGACTAGTTCTTCTTTTTTTTATCAAATACAGGCACTAGTGCAATTCTCGTTTTAGATTATAAAGTTTTGAATGACAGTATGTATTTATTTAGTAGTGTGTAATTTAACATTTGCGTTCATACTTTGCGGCATAAGAAAGTGCAAAATAGAGTGTTTCCCGTTTTTGGAAGGGAGTCAAAGAATATATTACGAGTAAATTACTTTCCAGTGCAGCAAAAAAACGAAGGGTATATAAGAGTTTCGCATAAATTTATAGATTTAGTTGTAAGAAAATTTAACTAAATCAATATCAAAATATCTGCGCTTGCCTGTGGGCCCATCTACATAACTTATGACAAAGTTTTACTGTGCCTAAAAAAGAGCTTATATTCAGCTTTTTTTGGCGTCAAATATGTAGATATATTTGCTACATATTTGTATCGTTTATTTGTAAGGCTCAGTGTTAGTTTATAAACATATGTATGTATGTACGCATATGACGGACGAAGTAAGAAAATGTGATGGGGTCTTAGGTATTCGGCTGCTATTTATGTGTTCGGTTTTACAATTTTATCTTTCAAGTACATACATATATTATCCTCTCAATAGTACATACATTGCATTATATCCATTATAATAGATATGTAAATACACTACATTTAGGCGCTCTCACTGGCTTCGATGTGCTGGGTTATTAAAAATCTTTCTCCATATCATCTCACTGTAATCTTACTCATCGCTTTTTTGCTTTGTTCACTGCATTCTTTTCCTTACAGCTGCACTGTGCTTCGTGGTTCTTCTGTTTTGTTGTCGACAAATGGGTGCTGATTTCTCTGTTCTTCTAGTCTATATCAAGTGCGGCTAATATTAATTACGTACACAAATCTAGTTTTTCATTACATCTACATACTTTACTGTTGTTTTTAGTTTTCGAGTTTTTTATTAATTTTTTTTTTTGCAATTTTTAATATATGTAGTTCTATTTTGAAACTACTACTTCGTCGACCTTCACTATTTTTGGCATATGTGTTTATGTATGGACTTACATATATAGGTATGTATATTTTAGGTATGTTTATGCATACATATGTATGTACATTTGTAAGCATGCTCATAATATATTTTTTTTCATACTTTCTCAACTACATTTTACCACTGTTGGCCTTTCTTTTATTGCAGCAAAATAATCGATATTTTTTATAATTACTACAGTACAACGTCGTTTTTGATTTCCAGTGAAAATTGTTCATTTTACTTTTGCTTCTGTGTACACTAACTTGCTAATTTTACTGTGCTTTGTTTCAAATTATTTACACATTTATTTCCATTTATTCATTTTCCCAAACTATCACTAAATAGTTTCCAATTGTATATCTATTAATGTATGCTTATTTTTTGACATTTTGCTTAGCTTATTTCATAATGGTTTTATGCTATTTTTAATGTGGGTTTACTGTGCCTGCAAAAGTAAAGGATAAACCTTAAAAAATAATATGAGGTGTTAGTAAAAATTGGAAAAAAGTAGTAGAAAAAAAGTTTTAGTAAAATTGTTATGAAAAATTTGTTGCAAATGGTAGCATAAAAAATGGATATAAAGTATTAAAATTGATATTAGTTAATATTAAATTATATATAGAGTATGGAAAAAAACGCCAGCCGTATTAAGTGCATTTTCAAAAACATTCAGTATGCAATTAAAAGAGAAAGAAAATTGTGTGTAAACTTTTTTTATAAATGATGAATGCAGGAAAACTGTTTTAACCATGGAAACCATAAATAGATATTTATAGCGCGAAAGCCTTTTAAAATTGAAAATGATAATGATTCTAACGTTATTATTTGTAAGTAGCCTGAATGAAGAGGTACATACAATATAAAGTGGTCCAACATGAAGAAAACTGACAGTAACATTAGATAAAGTCAGCTTTATTTCTTAACTAGCATTGATAAACTTTTGATACCTAGAAGAAAATACTCATTAGGACGGGTGAATTCTTTTCGACTATGCTCGGAGGATTCTATATGTAGATCTAAGTAAATTTTCCGAAGAAAGCATGGGTCTCAAATGAATTTGGAGTTCGCCAAATTGCGAAAATAAGTTTCGTAGAAAATGTGAAAATTTTCACTCTTTCGAACCCTCATGAAAGCTTATTAATTTTAGCAAACTCTACTCAAAATACTCTACGCGCATAGATAGTCGGAAAAACTCTACTACTCAGGCCTGGCAAGGGCCTGTAAAAGAAAGAGAGCCAGCAATTTGGATGGCTTTTATCTACGCACTTCCTACAAACACTAACTGAAAAACAGTTTTTAGGCAAATTCGTGTTAAACTCAATAGGTATATTAAGAAGCATCTAACTTACGGCAGTTTGTGTTAACAAAAAAAAACGCTTTATTTCTGAACACAGTCTCGTTTTAGCTCGTTGCATTTAGTCTAGCGTTTTTCTGATCAGTAATTTTCTGCAAATAATAGGTTTTTTCTAGGACCTCAAAATTAGCCTTTGTTTCAGTGATAGATAGCCCCTTCATTCGACCCAAATATCTTACCACCCAGACATTTCTTTGGGCTTTGTAACAGGAATTACTCACTGAGGGATAAATTTGGTGCATATGGTGGATGAGAATTTGTAGCCCAATTGATGGAATTTATTCTGTGGTGACAACACACGTGCCTATCTCAGAAAACTTTTCAAGAACTTCCTACTTAAGAATTTTATTGAAGGACACCCTATTTCAGAATTTGGTTAAAGAATGCGCCATCTCAGCTACCGATTCAAAAACGCCCTATCTCAACACATTTTCAATGTATTTTCAGCTGTTGCAAGGCACTTTTGAATCGAATTCTGAGATATGGTGTTTTTCAATAAAATTCTGAGGCTTGGCGTTCTTGAAAAGTTTTCTGAGATAACGTTTTTCGAACTGGTTGCCGAGATAGGTCGATCTTTCACTCATGTATCAATATACACATTTTTCATTCATTTTATTTCATTTTTATTCGCCAATTTTATAGTATTTAGTGTTTGAATGCAATTACGGCAACCACAATTGCGCCTTATGAAGACCATCCTGCCGGTCCAACATTGCACCAATTTGCTCCGCATAGCCGGCCTTATCTCGCCAAGAACGGGTGTATGCTGGTTTCCAACTTGTCGCTCGTGACTAGTTTATCGGCGTAGACCATTAACTTGACGTAACCCCACAAAAAGTAATCTAACGGATTCAAAACACATGATCTAGTTTACCAACTCCATTTCTTGATATGATTCGGCCACGAAAAGTTCGTCCCAATAAAGTGATAAGAACCATTTAGTCCTTAGACGATTGATATTGACGTAGGAATCATATAGTCGGAAAGAATTTGCCTGCTCATATGGATGGACAGAGCACATGTGTTCAAGTAACTTGACAACTGATTGACAGCTATCCTTCTAGGAAATGCCTCTCAAAAAACTGCTATACAATTTTTTTTACCTGTTCCCTATAATAAAAAAAATTATTTGCGAAAGAATAAGTACAATTTTTTTTAATATGCTGCCGCGAGTTAAAAAATAAACAAATCTGTCCAAAACGTTTAATATAATAAGGAAAACCACTGCATTTAAAAATTTGTAATAAGATGAGTAATATAGAAAACGAATCTACTTGGTTCATTCAGCAGTACAAACTACCAACGTGCTAAAACTGTACCGTGGTGATTATATGTAGCAAATCCAAATGAAGTAGACAAACATATACATAGGTTACTCAAAGAAGAAAGCACAACTACATAGATATTAATATATTACAAAGTTGTTCATGCTGGTTTAGTAAAGATAAAACTTTCAGAAAAGTATGCGAATGTAAAAAATGTGTGCAATGAAAAAATATAAAAATGCATTCAATCTCACAATTTCAATTGGCAACTGCGATAATTACTAGCATCAACACAACCAAGAAAAAAAAAAGAGTTTATGCTTGCTTCTGCTATTACTCTAATAGCATCAATTGACACCTACCTGTGGGCTCACTTGAAATTGCTGAATCGGGTAGGCCACAACGCCAGCTGCTTGCGGTATGGCAGCACCAGGCACACCCGTCGCCAACTGTTGAGCGGGTGAGATTTGCGCTTGGGTAGCAACTCCTTGCCAAGTGGCGGGTATTTGAACGCCCATGCTGTGAAGATTCAGAGAAAATCAAATAATAAAATAAATTTAAATACGTTTAAATCTTTGTTTAACTGGAACATACATATATTTAGGTAATAATAATAATAATATTTCTTGCACACTCTTTTGCTAAGTGTTTCGAGGATCTTCGCCTCCACATTGTGGTGTACACCTTGATGTTTCTTTATAAATGAGCAACCTAAAGTTTAATGCTACCTTCGAAAGGCAAATGGAAATACACTCGGATGTTGGCCATTGCTGCCGAGGTACGACCGCTGGCTCGGCCTAGCGATCGAATCCAGGTCCTGCGTAGTAAAAGTACACAGCTCTAGTCACTCAGCGACAGCGGCCGTTGTAATTACTTTTATTAAAAACAAAAAAAAAATAATAAAAAATTTAAGCGCAACAAAGCACATAACGCACAAATATTCTGACGAATTTATTTAAATTTTTCGGCACCTGGCAAAGGCTTTGTTGACTTCATCGTCAGCGGCATGAGATGTTGTTACTGTAAATACAAACTGATGCAATTAACCAAAGTATCAGAAAGTGCTACAACCACAATAATTGCATACAAAAACAATAAAATCTATGTATGCGGGCAGATGCAGATTTCACGTAGCTTTACATTTGTGACTTGCACAGTGTAATAATTACATATGCACATCTGCATAAGGGATTGGCATTGGTTGAACATCAATTCTTTCATACTAATCAATACTGCTGCTTTGTATGACTGAGCAGAGGCGTTGGCTTAGTAATATCGATACCTAAACGAAATTAGAGGATGACTGAACGAACACCAGCGCATAGCGTGCTGTCTTGCAAATACAGCCACCACAAGTGAACGATATTCATCAGCTGATTGGATATGCTAAAGATACTATTTCAATTATAATTATTATATAATAATAATTATTGAGAGTGGAAATGATAGTTTTCTTTATAGCACAAATCGAGTCCGATTTAGTCTGCCACGTAGTTTAACCCTCAAAACCCCCCAGCTGGAACCGCCACTGACATACGCGGTCATAGCAGCGTTAAGTTCCACAATACAAAATCGTACCCTCCGGGTGATATAGTGATTAGATTGTTAGAGGCCATGCACAACGACCTTAGGTCTATTGTGTGATATAGTGAGAATACAACGAGGTCTGAACTGGACTGGATAGCGCGCACAGTTGAAAAAACACCTAGTGCTCCACGATCAGTAATGATCAGGACAGACGATGGCAAAGTTCTAAGGCGCAACACTACCACATCATCCGACCACCATTCCGACTACCATTCATCCGACAAAATCTACAATTCAAATGGAGCGAACATTAGTGATAAATCCCGGATCTGCTTCAAACCTCAACATGGACAGTTCTTCGTCGTCACAGCAGACCAAAGCATCCCCAATAGTAGCACCATCCGTTTCAATAAACGTGGCAACCGAATCACCCTTTGCAACAGCGCCAGCTGTATCAACCGGCAAACAAAGAGAATCCGAAAAAACGACGAAAACTTCCAGATATGGGCGGCCTATTAAGCAAACACAATATTATAAACCGTAGTCACTAATGGATACAAACAATATATATATATATGTATATATGTAAAAAAACTAACTTGAATTAAATTAGAAAAGTTGGAATTATTTATGTGCAAGCAGCACGTCGATTTTCCGACTCTGCATTTGATTTCAAATACTTTAGAATGCATTTGGTTTAAAGCGGTACAAAGTCAGTATATTTCCTTTCAGATGACAGTTCATGCTCTAATAGTTAATTGCCCACAGTTAGATGATTTTACACCTAATATTGAACTATTGCAAACATTTGTATTTGTAGATTTGGTTTATCTCAATGAGGCGGCTCGGTGATTATACAACAATCTGAAGTAGTAGAAATAAACTAATTTGTCTGAGGTAATTGGTTGAGCTACGCCGTAATGGGTTCCGAATCACTTTTCGATTTTCGAGCAAATTTGGCAATCGAATTCGGATTACTTAGTTGATCAGTAAACCGAATATGGGAATCTGAAAACGGAATATTTTAGTTCGGTTTCGGAACAGGTAGTATGGAAAATCCCCTTTCGGACGCAAATACTTTCGAATCAAATTGCAAATGAACCGACCAGGATACTCTGAGCTGATAAAAAAAAATATTTTTCCTCCAACTAGTAGACCTGTTAGATATACGAATGCCAAGTCGACCAAATACAAATATTTATGACCAACTAGCGTACGAACAAACGCGCGTATGCGGTAAGCCAGTGACAGCGAATTCTAAAACAAATACAAGAGATGAACGACTATCGATGAGGTTGTAGGTTGACAGAAATCGGATAGCATTGGCTGCGCATAACTTTTGCAATTAGCAAATGAATTCAGTCAACCGTCACTTCGTCATCATTCAACGCCGTTCACCTCTCCGCTATGTTGCAATTCAATATTTCCATAATGCTCACGTTATCAAGTGTAGAATTTACCAGGGCGATGCGAAGCTGCGCTTCAGCGCTGATTTTCGTTGCGAATGTGTTGGTGGGCTTTTATTTTAACGGTTGTACTCCTTGTATGCAAGCAATTGGCGCGCATTTTAGTCTCGAGATAATTGGCTATATGTCGATGAAATTGTTGCTATACGTGCATATGTATTTGTAGCAATCGACCCTCTGCTTGGGTGTCCCTACAAGCGCACAAAATCCCGATTGTTGTGATGTTCATGAAATGGTATTCCATTGATAGGCGCCAATTGATAGTTGTTATTGTATTCCACGTATTTAAAATGCAAAATTTACAGACTTGCAAATAAAGAGTGCTGCGGCATTGCGCTGGCAAGCGATTTTGAGTTAATTGCAAATTTTTGTTGTATACATTGTGGCGCGTTGCGTACCATTTGTGGCTTATCGCAAGGCCAGACGCACATAGACGTGAAAGCACCGCTCGCTATTAATTCAAAATGAATTATCGATTGATAGGTATGCATCGGCACTGCGCCTACTTTGTCGCGTACACCAGATGCACACATCTACCCCACCTAAACTCATGTTATGTATGTAAAGCCCATGTCACATTACATTCGACGATTATCGCCTTCAATTATATTAACAGCGACGCTCACTCGCTCAATTCTACATATGTACATATGTATGGCAACGCGTATACCCATATACATGCATATACATATATGTGCTCAAATGTTTGTGCCTGCACGCGTACTTACCCCATATATCCTTGCTGATAGCCACCATACTGTCCGAAGTGATATCCCTGAATACCTTGCAAGAATTGATTCTGCACCGCTGCAGCAGATGCGGCAGCAGCCGGTGTTACAGCCGCTGTGGTCGATGAAGTGGAATACGTTGGCGTTGGTGAATACCAGCAACCGGTGGCGGCCAGCTGTTGCCCGTAGGCGGCTGCAGCAGCTGCTGCCGCACCAACGCCGTACGGGAAACCGGCTGCTGCAGCGGCAGCAGGATTAAGCGCTTGACTAGCGATTGTCTGTGCATTATTTGGATCACCGCTCTCCTTGCCCCACGAACACTTAACTGGCTGCGCATTGATTTCCGTATTATGGACGCCGACAATGGCATGTGTGGCGGCTTCCTTGGTCGAAAATCTACGCGTTGGCGTAGTAGTGGACACGGTGAAGGTAGTCAGGGTAGCACGGCATTAGCAGCAGAAACAACATCGGGCGGCCGCATGTAAGAGTAAAGTACAAAAGCAAATAATGAATTAATGGGTTTGGCTGGAAAAGGAGAGAAAATCCTAGAAGTCATGTTCTGTGGACAAAGCATAGTAGATACACTTACGGCATACATACATATGCTGCTATGCAGTGTATACAGATTGTAATTACATATATAAATGTGAGTGTATGCTCTGTTTGTCGTTAGGCTTTAATGTTTAGCCAAGTGCCGTAGCGTTGCTCATACTAACCGCACAAATGCGTAGCCCTTATCCTTAAAGACGCGTATCTCTTGTATCGATCCGTATGGTGTGAAGGTCTTCTGTAGGACTTCCTCGCTGAGCGCAGTTAAGGCGCTGTTGACACCTCCAACGTAAACAGTGCAATTGGAGGGGCTGCTTTGAATGTAGACCTCGTCGAATGTCAAAGGTTTGATATTTTCTGCAAAAAAAAACAACAAAATATATAAAGTATAGGTTATGTCAGATTGGTGTGCACACATTTTTTAAGTTAGCTATGATATGTAAATACTAGTGAACCCGCATGGCGTTAAAACGCCCATAATTGAATTTCAAAAACCTACAGACTATTCCAAATGCTAGTCAAAGTTATGGGCGATGCGAGTGCAATTTTTCTCACTCACATACTCTCTGCTTTTAATATCACAAAATTTCAAATCACCCTTTACCGATAAAAAGTTCTAACTTGAAAAAACACCTTATTACACATCCACGGGGCCAGGTTTGACCTCTCATATTTGACATTCGAAAGAACAGTGCAAATCCATTGACCTTCACAAAAGATGCATTATCGTATAATATATATGCTTAGTTAGATCGGTATGACTTTTCGAGAAGGTGGCGAGCATAATCATAGATATTTTCAGACTGAAGCTTTTATAAATCTCTTTCGATTCCCACTGATATTTAAATTTTTCATAAAACTGGAGTATAAGTTAACACAATTCCACAAAATATTTTTCAAAAGTATTTTCAAAACTGAAATCTTTTTAAATAAGTATCTTTCGTCTAACAATGTGTTAGATATTTCAATCAACTGCTGAATCAGGTTTAATTTGATTTTCCATATACGTGGCGACACTCTTAAGTAAGTGATTCAAATAAAACCTTTTTAACCGCATTACAATTGATAGCCACCTCTTAATAATTAATTTAACCTACTAAATAATTTGAATGTAACTTTTCAAGCAGGTGGAACGCTTCTTCGAAAGCATTTTCTAGCTAAAACTTTCTTCGATTTTCATCGCCTGGCATTCTGATACATATTTTTATTAGCATTAAGTTGAACTTGTTGTTTTAACCATATGCCAAACCCCTAAATAGAGTTAAGAAATAAAGCCTTTTCAAACCCATTCCTATTCATACCCATATAACTTTTTAAATAATTTTAAATTTTTAAATAAGAGGTAACCCCCTCATTTGATACCAATATTTTAACATTTAATATACTCTGTGTGCAAATTAACTAAGTTCGACATTTGAAACAGGTGGCAACACTTTTCAAAATATTTTCAAAATAAAACCTTTTTTTAATATCTTTTCTGTGACAACCTTAATTACGGTTACACAGGTGGCATCCCTCATAAATACATTTCAGAAATAAAACCTTTTCAAACCTATTTAGATTGATATTCATCTTTTAATAATTCTTTATAAACACGTAATAAACATCTTATATGTTCGAGCTAAAGACTTCTTAACTTTCTTGACACCCTTATTTTCAAGTAACAGGCGTATATTTTAATTTAATACAATTTTTAAATAGGTGGCAAGCCTCTTCAAAAGTAGTTTCGAGCTAGAACCTTCTGAATATCTTTCGTAGGACTTTGTTATACCTATTTTAATTAACTGATGATTTAAGTTGAATTTGATTTTTAAATATGTGGCAACACCCTAAATAAAGTTCAGAAATAAAGCTTTGCAAGCCCATTTCCATTGATACCAATATTTTTATACTTAATTTAGCTTATTAAATAATTTCAATTTAACTTTTTTAACAGTTCTTTGTTTTCAAACTAAAGACACCTTAACACTACTTCATCTGACATAGTTTAATATTTCAGTGTGTATAAGTTAGAGAAGAGAAAAGAGTGTAGTTACATCAACTGAACATAATTCTCTCAACAGACGATTTATATGTATAGTTACATTATAGTTACCAAGTCTTTTCTTGAAATAAATATTTTTAGCTGAATATTTTGTCAATGTACTAGTAAAAACCTTCCAACAAAAAGTATCCAATTCCGTCCTTAATAAAAGTTTAAAACATAATTAAATATACCCCTGTTTTCGAAGTTTTATAAAGCTTCAATAAACATTAAAAATGCATTGCTATAACAGAATGCACAGTAGAGTGGTCCAAAAATGCATTTGAAAAATTTAAGTCGGAATTTTGTTCATTAGGGTGGTCCAAAACAAGTAAAGTCGAAATTTTAATGCTCTATGATTGCCCGGCGGGCATATTCGCGTATACATACACGCTCTGCTTTAGAAGGCAGCGAAAGCTTCACTCAACCGCACGACTCTTTCGCACGCACACAGTGACATCAATTGTACGCACACTACAAAAATTCTCTGTCGAAGCTGCCCACCTCTGTTCTATACGGAAAAACTATACCCAATTTTTTTTTTATTTTTAAATCATAAATTATTTAGAGGTCGCTCAAAGCGCTCAAAGTTTCCCAAGTATTTTATAAGGGGAAAAAACTCCTTTCGTAGAAATGGTAGGAATTCTTGGAAAGCAATAAATTCGATCGGAGAACTTTGTTTTTCTTCAGGAGATTCCCAATAAAAATATCCAATTACTTATTTTAAAAAATTTCCATAGTAACTATATTTTATAGGTCCGCCAAAATACCCAGAAAGTGCCTTAAAATGCAATGGAGGGATAAATAAGAAATCTTTAGAATTAAAAATTGGTTAAACAAACAATTGGGTATTGTTGTCGGAAGTCTTTTCCCGAAAATATTGATTTTCAAGAGTTCTATACCACTTCTACAAAAAGTGGGTTTTCCCCATATAAAATACATGGAAAACTTTGAGCGACCTCTAAATAGTTTTTGATTTAAAATTTAAAAAATAGGGGTATATTTTTTCGAAATAGAACAATCCTTGGGGATGAGAGCATAAAAATTCCGACTGTACTTGTTTTGGACCACCCTAATTAACAGTTATATACGAGTACACACACACCAGGGTATTTACATTCATGTTAATGTGCATTCAGTTGCTGGCGCGGAAACGGACTAATTAGCCTTTTCAGGTTAAAATAAAATTTGCACTATTTAAAAAAATAATGTCAACATCGCGTGTTTATTGCTCAATGTATGTATTGTACTTTTTTGTAGTACTTATAAACATTCTGTTACACATATACGATGGGCACACGGCATTTGCAAGTGCATTTGTATGTATTGTTATGCTTTTATGTATGGGTGCCTGACAGGGGCGGCTTTGCAACTGTACGGAGTGATAAGGTTTTAAGGCCAGAAAAGGGAAATAACATGGTTAGATGTACATATTTCTTTTTATAAACAAGCAAAACTTCTTTGAAAAAAAATAAACAACGAGAACTACTGTGAGCTATGAGGACCTATCCGGCTGATGCACTCAGCGCCTTGGTTGGAATACTTCCTTTACTATTACAATAAAAAAAGAGGTGATCACACCGGCAATGAGAATCCTATACACCACTAGGGGATTTTTGGTACACATTGCAGATCGAGTTCACTGGAATACAGAGAACCGATACACCAAACTTAGTGAGGAGGTTTGGTACATAGATGGATCTAAGCTTGAAAATGGTAAAACTGGAGCTAACATTTTTGGGCCGAACTTCATAAAAAATATACCAGTAGTAGCTAGCCTACCATCTTTCAGGCGGAGATTCATGCAAGAGAAATTTGTGGCAGACAATGGGCTTCATGCATAAAAAGTGAGCTTAAGCTCGGACTCCATTTTTGCACTGATGAGGTGATCTCAAACTCAAGAATTTGTACTGAAAATCGAGTCGGAGCTTAAGCTCCCTTTTTATGCATGAGGGCCATTGTCTTAGAAGGGGCACAACTTCGAAATAAATATATCCGCCGCATTATGTCGGACAGTAGGCAGCCCTACTGGCCCTGAAGTCCTACAAAATAAGTTGTTCTCAGCTAGTTGCTAGTTGCCTCAAAATCATAAATGGTATTGGTACCAAGATTACAGTTTTATTAGAATGGGTACTGGGGCAAGAGGGACATGATGGCAATGGGAAGGCTGACTGCGCCTACTTCAATGATTATTAACTAGTTTTCAATGACACCTGTATAATAATTTTCTACCTCTAAGAAACACACAACACGAACGGAGCCCTTGGAGCGAAAACATTGCATAATTAATAAATGGTATAAATATATGTAGGAGGCACCAGTAATGTCGTTTGTTTCATTAGTCCATTAGTGAGATAAAGAGACAGATGTGCGCAAGGTGTGGCTCCTTTACCACAGATTTATTGTGGTCTGCAGCTGTTGTTTGTTGATGTACAATTAGGTGGGATCTGAAAGAATCGTCTGGTTGGTTTGTAGGCAACAGCTTACTACCGGATTCCCAAGTTACTCTTCTGAGTAGAGTAGAAATACCCGTAAGTCCTTAAAGTATGAGTCACATTTATGCCATTTTAAGACTTCGAAATTTAAATTTATAACCTCTTTTTATTTTTGTACATATGTAGATATATTTTCCAGTGTTTTCAATAAATTTATTGAACCGCCCCTGTATTTTTCGCTAAACTTTCATGCATACCCAATCAGCGTGCCATAGAGCCTTGCTTCGTCTCCGGTTCCATTGTTATGGCAAACGCTAGTGGTATGTTGGTACAATAATTACATTGCAGCAACAACATAAGCATGCATAAATAAAAGCAAAAGCAACAACAACAACAACAACAATGTTGACAGAAACGGTAGCATATATCTAAGAGTGGAATTACTTCAAAGCATGCAACAGGAATTTTTTCGTATTACTCATTTCCTCGCCAACCCCAGCCAAATCAGCCTGGCGGCAATGTGCTAATGCCTGCCAGTATGTATGTACATATATGTATGAACGTACATATGGAAATACATACATAGAAATCTCCTGACAAGCGCTCATAGTTGTAAAGTGCCAATGTACGTGGTGTAGCGCAAAGAGGCAAAACAAAAAAGAATATAAAAACAATTATACCTGTGCTTTCACAAAAATACCTTCATAACAAGGCTAAAATTTATTTGACGCTATTGTCGTAGCGCAAAGTTAAATACAAATGCATTAACACACATACGCACATGAGTAGAGGGAGCATGGACACAAAGCACAGAGGATGTATGCAATGAAAGGCTTGACTGTTGTTTTTATGTTGTTGTTGTTTTTACTAATTGCGATGCAGTTGCCACCTTTATAAGT